ACGACCTCACAGCTCTTGACAGTTTTCCCAAGCCCCCCCGAAAACACAAAGTGGTCCAGGGAGGACGGGGGACCCTCGCCAAAGTGAGTGCGGCCCTCAGCCACCACAGGCAGCCCGACCAACTTCTCGGCGAACCTCGAACTGACTAAAGTGCCTGGAACCATGTTGAAATCCCCTCCAATACAGAACGGAAGAGAAAGGGACGACATACGTTCCCCTATACTGGCCAGGAGATCGACATTGCGCTCAGACAACCCTTCAGAATGATGGAGATAAACAGAGCAGAGAGCGAAACGATCACCTCGCGGGAGGTGCACTATGCCTGCAGTCGCTCTGCCAACAGCAACCACCGCCCCCCCAGGGGGCTCATGAAGGCCGAGAAAGTCTCTGACAAGGATGCAAGTGCCAGCCGACGTGGAACCAGCGGCGGTCCCGTGGGCCGCAGTAAAGATGCCTTTCCACCCTTGGCGAGCACACCACGCCGAGGCTTGTGAGAGATCTTCATCCTCTCGCATCCTGTGCTCCTGGCATAAGATAATGTGCGCAGGAGTCTTGGCCATGAGCTCCTTCATGGTCGACCATCGGTTGCAATTAACCGTGTGGATGCAAATCTCAAGACTGTCCAGAGGGGCCGAACCGTGGCCAACAGGGGCCTCAGGGGCGCCCGAGGCGACGAAACTCACCGAGGGGTCCGAGGGGCCGCTGAAAAACTCGACAGGACTGCTCTGCTGCAAATCAACGAGCACAGGATATGCCTCACACGGGTTGGCAAACCCGAAAAAATGCGCCTCGCACGAGGCAGCACTGCGAACAGCACTCGCCAAGCTGGCAAAACCAGAAGCTAGCACCCGCTTGGCCCTCCAATGGGTGTGATTGACCGCTCCACTGAGCGACGAGTGCGATCTCTTAAAGGCAGACGGTCGCTTCACGTGGGGAGGGGTCCAGCGGGAACGCCGAAAGGCAAAAGAGCTGCGACTGCACACCGAGGCCGAGCAAGATGTTGCCCTGGTGGCGCCGCGCTCACCAGGCCCGAAAACGGGTGCCCCCAGAGGCTGGAGGAGCGTCCTGAACCGAGATTCCAAGCTGTTTCGAGCAAAAAGTGGGTACTGCTCGAGGGACCCTCCAGTTTCTACGCACGGTTCCTGGAGGTTCCCACGGCAAGACGGCGAGCCCAGACCACCCCAGATACCCTCCAGGGATCCAGGATGCCGTGCAAGAGGACCTGAGACCTCAGGATCCTCGACTCCGAAAGAAAAAGCCGGCCCTACTCCTTCATCAGCAGGCTGATGACACCCGCGAAGGCGAGCGTCGACAGAAGCTCCAGCGAGCGCGGGCTCTGCTTGCCAGCCTGGGCAACTCTCGTCTCCGCCCCAAGGTGCAAGGCCGAAGCCCAGAGCATTAAAGTCCCCTGCCGAGGGGAACGGAGAGAACATGTGCCAGGCTGGGCAAGTGAGCGTGCCGCTGGAATGAACGTGTTCATGATGAAGGCCCCCCTGCTGATGCTCACGCGGCAGCAGGGGGGGGGGTCTTGTTCTGGCTGCCCATGCTGAATGATCTTGGCGGCCCGCTGACGTAGAGCTGCAGACGCGGTAGCTTCAGCATCAACCTCTGGCAGCTGCGCTGCTGCTGCCGCTGGGCCAGTGGCAGCGTCGTCTGCGGCTGACTCAGCATCTCCACCTCCATCAGCGCCAGGAGCAGCACCTTCGTCAGTCTTCCTCTTCTTGGACAGCCGTCCGAGATGCTCCTTGTGTGCCTCCTGGATCTTCTTGGCAGTCTCGGAGGCCTGCGCGAACAGCCGCTGTGCCAACTTTTGGATGCCTTCTCGCAGCTGGTTGCCCCTCTTCTCGAGCTCCTCCTTGTCGGCCTCCGAGAGCTCGAAATCCTCGACTCCTCCAAGCAGCTCCGAGGGGTCGATGACCAGCTTGTCCGTGAAGGTCCCGTCCATGATCGACGACAGCGAACAAGGCACGACCTTGTCCCCTGGCACCTTCTGCAAGTCGGCCGCCGACGTCTGGGCATGAAGTGCGGCCACCAGTCGACGATGCTCAACGTCGGCCTGCTCACACTCCTCAGTGAACTTGGTGACCAATGCCCGCTGCTCCACCATCTGCACCGACCACTCCTCGAACCTCTGAACCGCGCCCTGCAACTTCCTCTCAAGGCCTCGCAGCTTGCTGTGGGCCATGGACACCTGGTGCTGCAGGGTGGGCTCCTTGGCCACAGGAGGAGGCTTGGCCAGCTCACGATGCTTAGCCGCTCCCAGCGCGTCTCCAGCCTTGGCCAGAAGCTCCGCCAAAGACGCGTGCTCTTCCCGAGAAAGAGGTGTCTCTGGCTTGGCTGGACCGCCTGGCGACTTGCCACCCTTGCCGCCACCATGGTCGCCAGGCGCGAATGTACCTGGTGGCCCTTGAGCAGCAGCAAAGGGGGAGTACGGCAGGTTGCTGCCGAAGCCGGCAGACCAGACTCCCCCAGGCGTGCCGAAGGACGTGGGCGTGTATGGCTGGAACGGGGTCCACTGAGAGCCACAATGCTTGCAGCGTGACCAGCGCATCTCATTCTTCCTGCAGCCGCAAGCCGAGCATGTCCAGAGGGCGGGAGGCCCATCTGGCTGAAGCCCAGGAGCCCGAGCAGCCCAAGGAGGAAGAGGCGTGCCACCCCTGTCGAACAGCGCGATCTCATGCTCGAGGGCGGCCGCCGAGGGAATGCTCTTGCCACCCTTGCCGCCGCCCTTGTCATACTGACCACCAGAGCCGCGCTTGCCGTAGCCGCCCTTCCCCATGGCGGCGAAATGATTATGAACTGTGAGGGTACGGCCCTCTCCGAAGCTGAATGACTCGCAGGCACGAAGTGCCGTTTTGAATCCTGCACCTGCAACGCTCAATGGCTTGAGCGCAAAACGGCTTCTGGGAGTGGTCTGGGTGCTCCTCGGCCCGAAGGAGGAGGCGGGCAACAATGGTGCCTGAGAGTACACGCACGCGCACTACTGGTGAAACATTGTGAGGGCACGCCACTGTTTCTGTCGCCACTTCAGTAGCTTGCGAGCACCGCGGCGCGCCTGTGAGCAACCCAGTGCACTTGTGACAAGTTTTCGATATGTGCACGGACGCGGCGACGAGGACATGGCCTGAACTGCCCGAAAGCCACCGGAAGGACGACGACGACGAAGACGACGACGACGACACCGACGACACCGAAGACGACTGGAAAGAGAGGTGGAACAGCCCACGATTCAGCTCAATGCACAAACACCAAACGACCACTACGACAAGTATGACGACAATCCTCACCCCATCCCTCTCCACCCTCCCTCCTCCTCCTCCTCCTCCTCCTCCTCCTCCTCCTCCTCCTCCTCCTCCTGATACCACTGCTACTGCTGCTGCCGCTGCCATTGTTTAAACCGCAAATTTCACTACTACAAAAGATGCGACCCTGCCAGCACCGGAATACCATGTGAACTCCGCGCGCGTGCGCACCACGCCAGACCTTGCGAGTGCAAACATCGCCTGCAAGCGCAGCCTCGTCGTCTACGAGCACGGGCAATGAGCCTATAAACGCCAAACTAGCCCGTGAACGCCGTAGTAGCCTGCGAGCACCACAGTAGCCTGCGAGCACCAAAATAGCAAATAGACGGCGAGCACTACAATGGCCTGAATGGGAAACGCAAAAATGCGACCGCACCAGTTGGGAGACTGTGCTGCACGCGCGCACTGCGGCAGAGCTGGGGGTGCTGCAAGGGGAGGGGGGGCGTTACATTATGCGGGGTGGGGGAGGGACGGGAGACCATAACGCGCGTTGTGCTTCCTCCAAAAAGAGGGGAGAACGGGAACGCGCGACTAGTGACTAGTGAACCTCACCACGGCGTGGCTAGCACAAAAGCGTGAAGCAGACGATCGCCAGCCAACCACGAAAGCTGCACGAACCGACCTGTCACACGCAAGTTCATGAGATAAACTGTGGCCTGAGATAAAAAGAGATGAGAATATGAGTGTGAAATGCCAGAGGGGGAGGATTAGAGAAGGAGGACAAAAGGGGGAAGTGGAGACGCACACAAACACACGCACTGGCATTTGGAATAATGAGCCCGAAACCTTGATAATCGGTGACAAGACGATCAGCCGAAGCCGCAAGACCCTAAGAGAAATTCTGGCCCTCGCGTTGCCATAGACACAACGCAAGAAGCGGGCCGTCACGTAAGACGCGACGGGAGCTCCTCGCCAACACCACGGCTACCAGCGGCGCTCTGTGGGGTAACTTGACCGCTGAATTATACTTACATTGGAGGGAGGGGGCAGACTGCGCTTTATAGCCCGAAGGGTTGAACACCACTCTCGTTGTAATGACGGTAAGGAGGCGAAAGGGGAGGAGAAGGAGGAGGGGAGTCAGGAGCAGAAACGGGAGGAGCGTAAGGCGTTCCAGCCCTCTGCGAGGAGGAGGGGGCGGAGGACACAGAGGAGGGAGAAGGACGGATAAGGATGAGGGAAGAGAAAGCAGAGGAGAGGGAGGAGTAGGAGACGAGGGATGAACGGAGGTTAGAGGCTTCATATGAATTCGCATGTGCGCCCCCTTGAGGTAAAGTAGATGGATGTGGGGTGAATGAGATGGATGAAGCATGGGGAGAATGAGAAGAGGGAGGAGGGAGAGGAAATATGGAGAAGGAGGAGGCAGAAGGAGGGGGAAGACGAGGCGGAGGAGAGATTAGAAGAAAGGACGAACACCAGGATGAGGAGACAGGCTGAGAGAGATAGAGAGAGAGAGAGGTAACAGGTGACACAACAAAACCAGCATAACCACACGAGAGAGCGAGAGAGAAACAAACAAACAAACACATACAACATAACGAAGTAGCGATGAACTGAGGTACCATAACGAGGTTGCCACCAGCCTTCAGAGGCCAGCGGATGCCCAACAACATCCCCCAACCAGAAGCAAGAGGAGGGCAGGGGGGCGGAGCTCCTCCTCGCGCCGGCCTCTCATCTACTTTGGAAGATCGGCAGCGCGAGTCAAACTACGCAGACGCCTCCCCCGCTCTCGCAAGCACTTTTACTGCTGGTCGCTGTCGTAACGATGCGGACTCGGTTTCTGACACCGCGTGGATAGCTCGGTATACTGAGCGGCTTCTGCTGCGGGTGGCCTTCCACGCTGAGCGCCCGCGCCAGCGTCGCCGCCGCGTGGACGCGGCGCGGACCTGCCGAGGGCCATCCCCGCTCCGCGTCGACTCCCCGGACCCTCTCCGGACACCGCCCCGACCAGCCCTCCGAGCTGCGTCCAGCCGTGGCCACGCGCGGCCTCCTGGAGGCCTCTGGAGCCCCAGGGGGGCCCAGAACCACACCTCGAGGCGTCGGCGCCGCGCTGGCGCCGGGCTGCCGCGTCGACGCGGCGCGAGCCTGCCATGAACCCGCCCTGGCCAGCTGCCCCGCGTCGGTGACGGGCAGGTCGAGAGACGGCGGGTCCAACGCCATCACCTCCGCGGCGCGGGGTGGGGGCAGAAACGGATGCGCCCGCCCAGGCCAGCGCCGTCGTGGTCTGCTCCTCCTTCTCCTCATCCTCCTCCTCCTCCTTATCCTCCTCCTTATCCTCCTCCTCCTCCTCCTCCTTCTATTGGATGCGGCACCCACCCGGTAGTTGTGAGCTTGACTCACGCCCTCGAGGGCGACCGAACCGAACCTTCTCCTTCTCCTCCTCCTCCTTCTCCTCCTCCCCTCCTCCCCTCCTCCTCTTCCTCCGTTTCCTTCGTGCGGTGCCACCCGTCTGACAGGGCGGGCACTGGCTGGCGGCGCCCGCGGCGCTGCCGGCTGGCTCAGCCTGGGCTGACGTCCCGCCTCGCGGCTAGATTGCGCTTCCCTCCTCCTCGGCCTTCGGCTCTGGTGGCATTGGATCCGGCGGTCGGAGATGCCCACTTCCCGGCAGTCGGCCCGCTGGGGCTGCCCGTAGGCAAGGGAGACAGTGGACAGGGAGGACGAGGAGAGGCGGGAGAGGGGAGCGAGGAGGCACCACCTGCAAGCCCCAGAGTCACCCAGAGCTTTCAGCAAGGAAAGCGAGGGAAGGGAAGGAAGAAAAGGGACATGCGGGGGAGGGGGAGGAGAAGAGGAACTCTTGGGGCGAGCTTCTAAACCACGGGCCAAAGTCCCTGATAGTTGTGCCTGAAGTCGGTCCTCTTCATACTCCCAATGTCTCCTCCTCATCCCCTCCTTCTCTGTGCCACGGGGGTGTCTGTTCAGTGGGGCGCCTCACGGGAGCTGCTCTGAAGTGCAGGCCGCGAATAGGCAAACTCACTGGGTCCCCTCTCAGGGTCCGTCCCAGCCCGAATTCAGGGCCGCGTCCACCCGTGGCGACGATACCTCCAGAAACGTCCAATACATCCGAAACGACCCAGCGTCGACGTCGGCGTCGTCGCCGCCAGCGTCGTCTCTGGATATCTCTGTAGGTCCCCAGTGAGGTCCCTCAAGGTCCCAGGAGGTCCAAGGAGGCCCCAACAATGAGTAAACCTTGCAAAGACCTCGATCCTCGGTCTCCTCCCCCTCCCCCTCCTCCCCCTCGTCGACATCTTAAATGTCAACGCCGCCGTCGCCGTCGCCGTCGTCGTCGTCGTCGTCAACGCCGTCGTCGCCATAAACAGCCGTCGCCGCCGTCATCGTCTTCGTCGTTCTCGCCGACGCCACCATGGTCGACGGCGTCGCCGTCGCCGCTGACGGCGTCGCCACCACCGACAACTTCGCCGTCGTTGTCGGCGACGTCGTCGTCGTAGTCGTCGACGAGCGGCCCCCACGCGCCGCACGACGGCGGGCCTCACTGCTCACCGTACGCCGAGGCGGCCGCCGTTTCGTCGGCGGCCGCCGTCTCGTCGGCGGCCGCCGTCTCGTCGGCGCCCCCCGCGGTGGCGATGGGCCTCCCCGTGCTCCAGACGAGGAGGAAGGCAGGGGCGAGTTGTTGCGCTCTCGCAGCTTCAGCAACAGAGAGCGGCATCCTTCACACACTCTCTCGGGCATGCCGTGCTTGCGCGACGTGCATCGTGTTGCGAAATCTGCGGAGGTCTTCTGAGGTCCCCAGAGGTCCTTGGAGGCCTGTAGAGGCACCCAGGGCCCCCAGGAAGCTGCATGAAGCGTACAAGTCCTAAAAGGGGAGGCGGAGGCGGGGGCAGGGGGGGGTCATCCCTCCCCACTCCTCCCCCTCCTCCTCCGCCTGCGCCTCCTCCTCATGCTCTTGATCCCTCCTGTTCCATCATCCTCCTGCTGCCTACTCGCGTCTCGTCATCACCGTCGTCCTCCCCAGATGATTCACAGGGCCGCCCACAAGCACGGGCAGTGAAACAACGAAAGCTCGGAGGGAGAAAAGGGGGGGAGAAGGGACACCCCAGGATGATGAGGAGGACGAGGAAGAGGAGGAGGAGGAGGAGGAGGAGGAGGAGGAGGAGGAAGAGGAGGAGCAGGAGGATGGAGGAACCGATACGCATCTCAAAGTCTTGAGGGAAACATGCGGGGACGAGCCATCCCCACCACACAATACATCCGCAAAACGCAAGGGACGGAGGGCCCCCCCCCGCACAACGCACACCTTGCACATCCCCGCATGGTGTACGCCTTGCGCCGCGCCTACATGCGAAGCGCACTCCGTCGAACACACAGGCCCACTCTCAAACAGCATGCCCGGATCGCATCGGGAGTGCTGCTTCTACCACGGGAAGAAAAGGGACCGATGAGGCCCACCCCCCGCCGACAAAACCTCCCCGAAGGACGGAGAGCCCTCGCCGATCTAACGCTCGCTGCGTTGAGGAGGCGCCGCCCGCCGAGACGTGTCGGAACGCGATGGACATATCTTGGCGGACCTATGATCGGCAGCGCGGCGGTGCATAGTGGAGCCCCGCAGAGCTCACCGAAGAGCCCAAGTTGGGGGCGTTCGTTAATGGAGGGGTAACACAAGGGAGTGATGTAACGTGCACTGTTCGCGCACCTGTTGGGCCCGCCGTAACAGTTGTTGGGCACCCCTTTAAGGCCACGTTCCTGCAATCCTCGACACTTTCATGTCTATTGCCTCCCTTCCAGGCGCCGTCCGCCCGAAATTAGCTGCTGGGAAGGTCACCAGCCCTGGTGCCTCTCGCGCTCTGGGGCGTCGCCCATTTCTCATATTGGGTAGCCAGCAGAACAGGGATAGGCCTGTCCGTCGGACATGGCGACCCTGACCCTGAGGGGACAAGCGGTGGGAGAGAGTGGAAGGGGGGAGGAGGAATAGGGAACCAAGGCAGGTGCGCTCGCGCCATGTCTGACATGCTTTCCGTCCCACCCGTCCCATCCCTCTGCGCTGTGTGTGACAAACTGGACCTGGAACCTCAGAAAGAACCCATCGTCAAATGCGCAATCGGAAAGGGGAAGCTGAGCTGGAGGAGAAGATCTCCGATCGAAATAGCGCGACCTGCTCAAGTGTTAACGGAATCAAGCGACAGAGCTCTAGATAGTTACGAAAGCTTTCCTCCGATCTTCAATGGTGCAGGCTATGTCAGAGGGCACCTGGCAGAGGTCGGCCTCGCCCAGGAAGACGGGCCCCACCGTTACCGCCAGCTCCCCGAGAACGTCGGTCGGCAGTCGGCCAACGGTGACAAGGCCGCCACTCCTAATTAAGATGTGGCACGCCCCCAGCAGATTGTGGCCAGGCCGCGGCACCCAGAAATAGCGAACGAGCTGGCCCACGATCCGCCGAAGCTGCCAACGAGCAAGCCACGGCTCGCGGATGACCTGGTGGAGCGCAGGGTGAAGCCTCCACGCGAGCTTCGGAGTATGCCTGAGCCACCCCTCGCACACGTCCAGCACAATGCCGAGGATGACGAACCCCGGCTGAGTGGTCTTGAAATCGTGCCACCGCACCCCTTGACGGCCCAACTCCGCCGTGAGTCTCGCGAGCAGGTCGTCCAACGCGGCCGCGTTGAGGGACGCGAAGTTCTTCCCGTCGTCGACGTACAGGGCTCGGACCGCGGCCTGCCCGACGAGCGTCGGGGCCCGGGCCTTGTCCAAGCGCCACCCATCATTGGCGAGGCCCGGCACAGCCATGACGTCGACCAGCACCTCGTGACATCCACAGCGCCCAGCTCCAGCCCATGGGCAGCGCCGCGAAGCAAGGCCAGACGACTGCCGACGCACACGCCAGAGCCTGTCGTCGCAGACCGGGTCAACTGACCTCGAAGCCGAAGCACATCCAGCTACGACAACGGCCACGTCGACGTTGCAGGCGCTGCCGGGCCTCTCGGCAAGCTTACTGCGCCGCCTCTCGCAAAGAGCCTTGTGGGCTGAAGTGCCGAACCAACCCCCGTTTTTGCGGCGCCGCATCCGCCTGACCAAGCACATCAAACAAAACATCTCTTCGCCAGTCCTGCCCAGATTCTGGGTCAAACTGAGTCTCGCCTTGCACATTCCACGTCCGCAGCCCACTCCAAGATGCCAGATCATGCGTCCAGGAACGAGGGGCTCGATCCTCCACTTCCACTGCCTGAGGCGGAGGCAAAGAAATTGGTTGCGAAAAGCCCACGAGACGAAGGTAACCCGTAGCTTGGCGAGAAAGGGGTCAAACTCTACCTCATCAAACCTGCTGTCCAGGTCTCTTGGCCTCCAAAGACTGTCGGGCTCGGCCCATGGCTGCATGTACCTCTGCATCGTCTGGCTTAGCGGCGATCCCACCTGCGTCCCGTGGGCTGACTGGGGCCACGTGGCCAGCAACAGGAACGGCAGCGGGCGGTGCCACAGGCTGCGTGCCGCCACCACTGGACGAGCTGCCTCCACTTGCCTGTGCTCCTGGCGCAGCGGCTCGACTGCGGCCCCATCAGCTTCGCCCCGACGGTCTCGCTTCGCCGAGAAGCGCCGACGCATCTCACGAGCTTCCTGCCGCAGGCGCTGGATGTTGCCTGCCGTCGGCCCGATGACCGAGAGGATGGCCGCCTGCGGCATGTGCCGATGTTGGCCTTGAGCTCGGACCAGCGCTGCTTGCCCTAAAATCCGACAGGTCACCATCCACGATCCCGAATGTGTCGACGAACTCCGCGCTGAAGATCTGGGAGAGGTTCATCTGCGAAGACCCAGCGGCGCCACCGCTTGAGGCCTCACTGCGGCCGTCCTTGCTGGGAGTCCGCTGGCCCGCTTTGACGAGCTCCGGCTCGAGCTCCTCCTTCAGAGCCTTGGATGCCTCCGCTGCTGCAACAGCCGCCGCAGCTGTCGCTCCCTTGCAGTCGTCGAGCCAGCGCTGCGCCTCGTCCTCCTTGTCCACGCAACTCTGGAGCCACGCCTGCGCCCTGCGGCACGCCACCCCTGGAGGCCTCGAGCAGCTGCCGCTGTGGCTGCGGCGCTGGGACCTGCTGCGGCCCCAAGGCGCCCTCCGTCGCCTGGAGCTCTGCCTGGCCTGCGCCGCTGGATCCGACGGGAGCCCTGAGCTGCGCTGCAGGAGGTCGGAGGTGGCGGGACCTCCATCCTGGGGCGGCGGGGCCACGCGGGGGCGGAGTGGAAGGCCTCGGCTGCCCGACGCTCGGCGGAGGATGCCCCCACTGGCAGGTGCCTGGCGGAGTGGGTGGCGACTGGGCCGCCGAGCCTCCTGCCGCCCGGACCAAGGCACCCGGACCAGGCGGCGACCACTCCCTGACCCTCACGCCAAGGGACCTCCTGAGGAAGGAGCGCGGTCCCGCACTGGAAGCAGAAAGCCATGGACTTCCACGTCCACCTGCACCGACACGCCGAGCACGTGATGTAATTGCTCTTGGCATCTCGCCGGCCCATGGGCAGCGGGCGAATACCGTAATGAGAACGTATGATCCTGCCAGAAACTCACCGTCAGCAAAAGCCTGAACGCGTGGTCCGGGGATCGCTGGTGGGGGCGCACCTCCCATTTGCCACTTCTCAAATCTCTGAGCCTCCGTGCTCTGGACTTGAGCCCAGGTAGCTACGGATAGGAGGAGGAGGCGGAGGAGGAGGAGGAGGCGGAGGCGGAGGCGGAGGCGGAGGAGGAAGAAGAAAATGACAAAGAATAGGGAAGAGTACCGTCTCCACTCCACGGAGGTCCACAATCCCATTCGAGGGCGGAGGCCCCCGCGAGCTCGCCAAAACACGGGCCCCTCTGGACCCTGAGGATCCCAACATTAACTACCCGGCCACAAAGCCCCCAACTGGCCCAGGTGGGCCCAGAAACCTGTCCTGGGGCTATGTTGGGAGGCTCGTGTGACGTCCTGAAGGGTTGGGAGGATGGCCTCAGAAGCCGAAGTCAATGACACACCAGAAAGTTCTTGTATGAGATTCGCATGCTCGGCCAAACCAAGTCCGCCAAAGAGGAACTGACGACCCGCCCACGAGGTCCCCAAGACGGGCCTCAAATGCCTCAAGCGGCCCGCTTTCTTTCTTTCGAAGAGGGGCCCACGATGGGGAATCCGAAGGGGGTCCAGGGAAAGCTCCGCCCCGAAGACAGCCATCAGTCCCCAAAAAGGCTGCCCGAGGCTCAAAGCGTCACCAGGCGAGCCCCGAGAAGCCTCCAAGATGCCCCCAAAAGACTCCACAGAGGCCTCCAAGAGGCTTCCCAGGCCTCTAAGAGGTCACTGGCCCACGACCCAGGCACCGTGGCGGGATTTGACCGAAGGCCTTTTGATACTTGCTCGCCCCGCACCTCCTATAAACGCCACTCTGCACGGAAATCGACGACCCAGCCATAACATGTCCACGGCCTTCGGACCCACGGCGAGCGCAGCCAGTGCAGCGTCTACCCGAATCTGGCGACCACGGGGGACTTCCATCTTTGTGTTTGGGGGAGGGCCGAAAGGCTGGCGTAGTCCCCTTAAGCAGGGAAGATCGATCGGGCCGCCTCCGAAGAGGAGCATGCAATTGATGAGCATAGGGGAGGAGGGGGAGGTAGGCCGGATGCGGATCAGAGCAGAAGGGAGGGTCCGAACTGCTCTGTCGCCGGCGTCGTCGACGGTGCCGCGTCCAAGCATCCCCCGCTCCCGTCGCGGCCCGTTGAGGGCGGTGCCCATGCAGTTCTCGTAGGCGCCAACTCGGACACGCGGGGTGAACAGAAGAGGGCGCCGTCATCTTAGTCGAAGTCGAGGGAGAAGAACAGGAGGACGATGGAGAAGGAGGATGATGAGCTCTCACTCGATAGGGAAGAGGAGGCATTCGTCAAGGTGGCAGATGACGAGGTGGGGAGACGGACACCAGAGGGAGGAAAGGGGAGAGGGGCACGTGACCAGAGAGGCGGATGAGACAGGGGCAATTGCAAGTAACACTGGGGGATAACGGGGGAACAACAAGAGCAGGCGGACGATGATGATGGAAGTATTGGGAGGACGCAGGAGGAGGAGGAGGAGGAGGAGGAGGAGGACGAGGAGGAGGAGAAGATGACGGTTGACCAGGTCCAGTGCGAGCGGCTGACGATGAGGATGCGTAGGGCAGAGTGTTCAAAAAGGTCGCGTGGACGGATGACAATAAGGGGGACGATGATAACGACGATACTGGCGATGATGACAATAATAAGCAGGATACTAGTGATCACTACTACTAATACTACTATCACGATCACTACTACTGATACTATTACTACTACTACTACTACTACTACTACTACTACTACTACTACTACTACTACTACTACTGCTACTACTGCTACTACTACTACTACTACTACTACTACTACTACTGCGACTACTGCTACTACTGCTGCAACTACTACTACTACTACGACTACCAGGCCTACTATGACTACGTCTACTACTACTATCACGACGACGACGACGACGACGACGACGACGACGACGACGACGACGACGACGACGACGACGACTACTACTACTACTACTACTACTACTACTACGACTACGACTACGAATACTGGTGTGACAATTATTACTACTACTACTACTAATACTACTCCTACTACTACTACTACCACTACTACTGCTACTACTGCTGCTGCTACTGCAACTACGACGACTACTACCACCACTACTACGACCACCAATGCTACTACTACTACTACTACTACTACGACAACAACTACTACTACTACTACTACTACTACTACTACTACTACTACTACTACTACTGATACTA